AGAACTAGCCGCACAATTTTGTTTCACATTTCGTCTACCAGTTTACCTACAGTTGCGGTGATACTCACATCGACAGAACGAATCGGCCCCTGTCACAATGGATGTCTGAACACATTTCTAAGTGATTGGTACAATCAATGACGCCACATAGTCTTGGAGGTCAAGCTGATAAGAGAAATCCAGGTACATCAATCGCAAAACGTATCACGAGAAGCTAGACACATTGCTGACTCGCATTGGTCATTTAAGCTTTTATTATGTGACATGAATCAAAGCCTCTTGACGTTTAGCGAAGCAACGCTAATCAAGTTAAACAACCCGATTTTGTGCACACGAAAGTTTCTAACACAATCTGTCGAACTGCCGTGGAACTGGTTTACACCCCTGATCCCTTGACTATTGTCCATTGAACCACTGTAGTTACAAACAATTTATTGTATTTAAATACCATATTGTTTGACGTTTTAGAGAGTGAGGAGATTAAAATAAATTAAATTAATTATTTATTTAAATTAAATTACGCAATCGAGTGGTGGAACATATTCCGAATTTGGTCAAAAATCAGCTGACCCAATTGAGATCAAGTCCGCAGCATAGAAACGACGGTCGAAACTACAAGACCTCGTCCTCAGCAATTGCTCGACATCTGCTGATGACACAACACCAGGTCGACCGAGGCACAGCGTTTCGAATTGTCTACAAGTCACAAGTCGCAAGATTGTCGAGGTTTGCTGAAACCATTGCGAATAATCGATGGAAGTCCCCTCCCCCTGTGTCAGCAAAATCACCTTTATGTTAGCCTATCCATATCCTGGTGATATTGGTCCTTTTACCCCTCCCTCTTTTATGTTTTGTCTGTTTTTAATGTGTTTTGCTTTACTTTGTTGCTATGCTAAAGCCCNAGCTGACCCAATTGAGATCAAGTCCGCAGCATAGAAACGACGGTCGAAACTACAAGACCTCGTCCTCAGCAATTGCTCGACATCTGCTGATGACACAACACCAGGTCGACCGAGGCACAGCGTTTCGAATTGTCTACAAGTCACAAGTCGCAAGATTGTCGAGGTTTGCTGAAACCATTGCGAATAATCGATGGAAGTCCCCTCCCCCTGTGTCAGCAAAATCACCTTTATGTTAGCCTATCCATATCCTGGTGATATTGGTCCTTTTACCCCTCCCTCTTTTATGTTTTGTCTGTTTTTAATGTGTTTTGCTTTACTTTGTTGCTATGCTAAAGCCCTATATATGAACATTGTATTTTCTGCAGTATGCATCATGTTGAGATGCAGCGAAATCGTCCTGGACATAAATCGTGCAGTATTGCCCTTATAGTCTTTTCTCTTGAAATTATCCCACAACACTGCTTACAAATCACTGTGACTTGAATGTGTCTTGTTGATTCCTTTGCTTGGAGAAGTGGCTTCGAATTAGAATGTGAAAACACATTTCTTACTCGAAGCAAAGTTAATCATAAGACCAGTTGGATTGCTCTTGTTCCATCTTCTAAGTTCCGTTTACCGAATTGTCGTTTTAAATGTCCTTGTCCTTATGTAATCCGGTTCAAATTATCGTTCATCTCTACGGACCCACTATGCAGTTATCTTGGGAACAGACAAAGTTTATCCCCTTCAATCTTCATGGGTTGCGGTTTGTCCTTTATTAGTGTATCTATGCTTCTTTGATGAATGGAATGCCATTGTCTTGCTATTTTACTTTAAAATCAGGGAAGTATGTTGAAGAGTATAACAAATGTGGTCACATGCTCACACATGTGTTACCGTAAAATGAAACGACTGACAGGAGAAGAAACATTCTCATTATTTTTCTAATCACTGCACAGACTCAATCGACAATGATGAATGTTTCGTATTTTTATCATGAGTAGTATATGAAAGACTGGATAGCATTTCTCAGTAGCACACAACCGGTTTCGCGGTACTGCTCGAGATACAAATACGATTAGCATTGCATAATTCACATCGAGAGTTCAAGAATGACCAAAACACAAGAGTACCTGAAGGGTGCCAACCACTCGGGTTATGTTATTGGGTCTCTATTCTGTCCACGTAGATCACTCCGCGCCCAGATCTACATTCGTAGGACGTGACACCCAGTCACCTCAGATGATACAGTGAAATAGGTGTGATCAGTGGAAAAATTACTCACCCTGGGAAAAGTCTTGTTTGACCTCATCATTACTCACACGCAGCTTCCACCTTACGCTGACGACGTTGCGCAGAAAACGGTCGCATCATATTAATTTGTCAACCAGATGAAAAATAGTCACAAAAGCTGAACAAATCATGTGCTAACTGGACATTTCACGAGGAATCGGACGGTCGGCTCAGATCCCACCATATCATTAATACTACGATTCGTGGATCTCATTCTGTCGACAATAGGTTGTCATAAAAGCCCCGATCAGAACAGTACATGCAGTTGAGGAGTTTTGCTTATAGACGAAATCTTGTTCAGATCATGTTCATCAGAGCAACCGAGACATAACAAGTGTAGTAATATAGGTAGAACTGGGCCAGTGAACTACAGAGAGGTAAGTTATGGGATCTTGATCGACCAAAAAGAATGCATTGGGACGTCAGATATCACATCGGTGCATGGGTATTCATAAAATGTACTACCTGAGTCCGTTTAAACGTGTCCCCCAAAACTAATCTCAGCGAACAGGGCTGATAAGTGATCTAGGTACCTGGCACATGATATTTCTCACAATTGACCAAGTGTAGTTGACGGATCCTAGTGTCGCTGGATTTACTCAAACTCGACCAAAGCAGATGACACAAAGGTGGCTGATTCTCTGTGTACATTCCATTTGAAAGCCGCAGCATGGTCGGGGGTTGATGTCGCGAGTTGGGGCTGATCACCACTCTCTTGCATCTCCCGAAATGCTGCCATACAACCAAGCGTCTCGAATAGCCGCTACCGAGGAAGCCCTACTCACTGCCCTCTCATGGCAGAGATGTTTTCAATCAAAGTGAGAGAACGAATAGCCGACATTCGGGCTATAACCGAGTTGGTGGCCCACTGATAGTTCACTTAGAGGAGTTATTTAATTACCCTGATTCCAAACCAACCAAAAAGAGGCGTACGAACCACACCCACACCTTCCTGGTTGTGGTAGTGGTCATCGGCTCGATTCAGCATCGAGGTGTATTGGGCATCTTGGAAGTTTGACCCCGTCCAAAGGACGTATGATCCGATGAACTGGACACCGGCTCCCAAAGGACTGAGGTTTTCCCACACCGCTCCGCTGCCTTGCGGGTCAGGTTTTGGCTAACCGAAGGCCTCGGTTATCCGGTTGTTCCTTAAGAAAATTAACTTGTCTTGGGCTGGGTAACCTGGCAGTATTCCGCCTACAAGCCAATCATGGAACGTTGATCTTTTCTATAAAGATTATTGTACCATGATTTGTTTGTCGGACAACTAAGAAATATATATCTGCTGCTCTCCATTTCAATCACTACTGCATTTAAGTCATTGCACACTAAGCGAATAATGATGAGATCACACGAAAGAAATTAGTTGAGTACAAGCATTAAATAACCGGGATTAATCCCAGGGAATAACATGATACGTCCATCACTTTTCTCATCGTGTGGTATTGGTTGTCACTCCCCTTAATACGAGGGAAGGTTATACGAGTATAAGGTGGTCCAAAAATTCGTACCATAATGTCATTTCCCCCAAAGTTAACTCTTTCGCTGATATGAACGAGCCTTGACAGGATAGAGAGGCTGTAGGGAATATGCCACTGAAGAGAACCGGTTGCGTGAGAATGATTTACGACTGGACACATGATCATAGTCTTGCACATAAGAAGAAACATTTAGAGAAAGCAACCAATCAAAACAATGAGAAGCTTGGAAACCATCACTGTTGGAAGAAAAATGAGAACTTTGCGTACACAGTTAGTCAAAATGCAGGTCGAACAAAAATCAATTACAATGTATTCCATAAAGGTATATCTAGTCAAAAGTGATTTCGAGCTTTAGTGTGAATTGAGACAGCTGAGTGAGCATCGCTGTCCGGGGTGGGGGGACTTGAAGTCATTCATACATTACTAGGTGGATTGATTTCGATTGAACTGAACCAGCCGGAAATTGTTCCCTATAACTACTGTTCACTGTGTGACGCATCAATAGTCATTTAGCTTAAATCGTGTATTGCGACAAGCTCCGATTTTCCACGGCTAATATGTTGGTATAACACACACACACACCACCTATGTGAGGGATTCCAGGTATAAATCCTGGATGGTGTGCTCTGTATCGATCGCAAAATTGACTTCCCGTGCTTGCCAGGTACATACTTCACCGGATGAGTGCAAGGACCAAGCCTATGGATGATTAAACGATTGGATTAAGTAATTGAACGAAGCCATCAGAAATAAATGTATCTTTGTTCAATACCTACCCAGTTTCGTTCCGTACTTAGCTTGATGTGTTTAGGGTTCACGTCCTGATAAAGACATCAGGAGAAGAAGTAACACGCTTTTCATTCCCAAGTTTGCGTACCACTCATTTGAGCGGCGCTCAGTTGATTGCAATGGATTCTTACAAGTCCAGTTTGAGGACCGGAGATTGTGAAGTGAGAAGATCATAACTCGGATCATTCTGTAGACTGTTCGATCATCAGCAGTTCTCGCGTTCAACTTGGAATTCTGCTCGGTTCAATGCCTCTCAGTGAATGAAAACGCTCGACAAGGTTGAAACGGCAGTGTGTGTGTTTGGCATGCAGTACGAATAACAGATTCCTGATGAACAGACCAATTTTCCAGTACCGGCTCACTCAAAGTTGTTCATTTTCATTGATCTTGCTGCTTCGTCTCTCTCTCTCTCCCGTCCCCAAACTATCAGTGATGATAAGTGATGATAAAATTACGCACTGAACTACGGAACTCTCCACACGTTTATTTGTTTCCCCCGTTCAAGAGCAAACAGACTCCGAAATCGAACTTCACTAATTTGAACCACAGAACTCACCTTGGAGAATACGGTCTCAGACAGCCAAGGCGTAAGTGATCGCCGGTCGTGGTGACCGGTTGTTTTCGATCGTCCAGTACTACTTCAAATCGATGAATGTAGTTGATTGCTGCTTGAACCGCGGAAAACTGTGTAGGGATTAAAAGAATGGGATGGGAAACAATACTACTCAACAATGTCTATTCACCGCATGAACGTAATTACAGCTTCGTCAAATCCCTTGCAATAATACACCGTTTAATAGGATCAGTCAAACGGTACGGTGAATCAATATGTTCCATAAGTTTTAGTTTCACAAAATGCATTTCCGATTCACTGAAATCCGAATGAACATTGATTTGTCAGATATTTGGCTACATAGAATAAAAATGAGCACGAAAAATACTGATTAACAAATTATTAATTATATTCCAATTAAAAGGAAACTAAGGCTATGACTTTGACATGAATCTTTGGCCGTGCGTGTGTATGTGTTTGTTTCTGGAATATTGGGGATATTGCGTAAGATCCGGCAGGTGACCGTTTGTGAATGAAACGTTTTAAACTGTTACATAAAAATAAGCATAACGTTTTCTCGAAGTGTTCTCAACCAGGAATCATGAACACACAGTTTCATGCGTTCAAACCATTTGCGGAAACAGCTCGAGCATGACGAAGTAGGTGTAACCGTGTCGACCAGTTCAATGAAGGCCTCCACAGCAGCTGTTGGTGACTCATATCAGATTCTACGCATCATGTGTTTGACATTTGGGAACACAAAATGTTACAAAAAGCCAGATCTGGACTGGGATGTGTCCAACCTCGTGTGCCGGTGCGTTGTCATGGTATAGCAAGGCCCCTCTTGCTCGATTCCTTGGACGACACCCGTCAACAAATTCTAGCACTTTCGGTAGACAGTGGATGATGTGCCAGTCTCCGGTGAGTGAGTAGGATGTACACTCAGGTTTTATCACCGCTGACGATTTCCTAAACTGCACTGAAAGGTCCCTCATCAAACCTGAAAATTATGTTGCTACACCAATTCACCTGGACTGCTTTCTGTTACTCACTGAGCGTGAGCAAACCTGCCTGAGCGTCTCATGTGGACTAGTGCGGATTGATCCCAATGAGATACTGATAGCTGTTCCACTATCACTCGCGCAACCTACTCCATCGTCGTTTGTACAGCAGCAGTGTTGTCCGCGTTGGTGACCTCACAAATCAACAACCCGTGTCTCAGCATCCAACGACCGCCTGCCACGCTTGAATTCCTCAAACCACTCAAACACTCTGCTTCTTGAAAACGATTCATCACTAAAGACAGCGCGCAATGATCAGCGCTCTACTGTTGCTGATTTAAATCACATTTGCAGTCGTAGAAAACCATCGTCCTCCAGTCAGTCACATCGAATGAATTCCATCCTTACATTACGAGTATGGGGACCCTCGTATGACTTGTGACCTGTGCTCGGGTGTGTTGATATTTGGTTCGGTGTGAGTTGAAATCGCTAAACACCATTCACAGTAGATTACAGTTCACGTTTTCCTTGCCTCGTACTTGTAAACATTTTGCTCAACCCTTGTACACGGGTTTTTTTTATACCACTACACATTCAGTGCTGCCGGACAACTAGGGCAGATTTGTGACTGTTACCGATGCTCACTGCGGCAAGATTTGCACACGGTGGATGAAAGTATGGTACTTCCATTCGTACAATCAAGCAATATTGTAACGAGAAGGCGAACTGGCTGGGAAAACGTCTATTGATCCAATTCAAAAGCAAACAGTGTATGCGTTCGATTATATACAGTCAATTCTCAATCGCACGGCGGGATGATTCATGCCTCTTTATGTGGGTCATTCCTTGTTGGTTTTAGTCCGCACTTGGCACGTACGTTACCTGTTCCTCCGTGTGCCATTCCAACTAGTTTGACCCGATCGCGGCGCGAGATGCGTTGATCGACAGCTCCGACGTTGTGGCATTCGGTGGGTATCTTTCCCGTTAGCTGCGGATTGTCTGTCGGGCTGTAATTGTCGATTCGCTCGTTTCGGGTGGCGGTCAACATTGTCTCGCGAGGCACTTCCCACCGCTGCGTCTGCACGTCTGGTCGGATGAGCCCTATTCTTGATTTGGTCGCTAATCAGGACTCTCTTTGTACTGCCTTCTATCACAATAACACACAACGGAATGACATGATTATGAGAATGTCAAACAGAACGGGGGGGGACGTGGTGTTCATCGCTAACTACCTAATGATTGTCCGTTCTCACAAAAAAAAAACTACTGTAAACTCCAGTGATTTGGACAGAAGGATAAAATATGCCGTTATCCTGTTAGCATTCAACAGAATATCTTTTTACTACACATCAGTGTGTGATGAACATCAAACGGGGCGAATTCCATAGTCACGAAAACCTGTTGTTCAGTGATGGAAACTGGTAACCTTAACCCCGGGACTTGGAGTGGTGAACCACATAAGGCTCCGATAGATTAGGTGTGGTATTGAACCGGATGACAGTAGAGCTGCCTGCCACCGAAGTCGGGTAGCGGTGGCGGGGATTGAACCTGGGACCCCAGGGTTCAAAGCACGCCGGTGACAGTGACTAAACCACTGCGCCACCACCACACGATCGCTTCCCCCGCCCTAATCACAATTCAAACGGGAACCTCTGGGGACTGTCCACTAGGCAAGCGTAATAAAATGTCAAGGCCTATAGTTCGCTTGCTGGATTCCCGACCTCGTTGGACACAGTGTTGGGAAGTATTGATGCTGCAGATTGTGGATTGTGAGTTAACTATACTTGGAAAAGCTGCTTTTAGGTTTTAAGAATGAATTAACTGAAATTCATTGAAAATAAAGAATTTTTATTAGTACTGCACCGTCCCCATGATTTTCTTGCGCCTTATTTGAATAAGTTCTAAATCATACATTCAATTATCTGAATATTTGTTTAAATCATTTGGCACATACTGATGGACCATGATTCCGGTGATGAGTGTCCACTAATGTCCTTTGTGATACTCTCATTAAAAAAACACTGTGTTCACATTCAAACTGTCTCACATCGTTGTGCACATTTCATTGGTTCTGGTCCAAGACCCCGATTCTGACCATCTCTAAATAAATGTTCCATGTAACACATCGAAGTGTTACTATGATTTACAATGATCAATTTCATCATACATCCTGCGCAAATTGAGCAATCTGAATTGATGAACTGGAGCGCAATTACGAGTGAACTTGTAATGCCTTACCCGTAGGATGCTTTAAAATAAGCTGTCATGATCAAAAACGTTCTTCATTTCGCGTATATTATCAGTATATATTCGATCGAGCTCGGACTGAGCTGGATCTCGACTGCATCGAAGAGCTTCTCCGACAAAAAGAAAACATCCGGTAAGTGTTTGAGATTCATTATCTGGACCTATCACCGATGTCCGAGAGGTTTCACAGGAATGTGTGCTGAACCCTCGTCCTTTTTCTTAAATTTATAAATGAGCTACCACATTTCGATCACAGAAACATTTTGGAGAAAAGTAACACATCCAGAGGATTATTTTACATTCGAAAAACCGATCAATGCAGCCCACCGACGGTCAATCGCCAGTAACATGGAACTCAATGTTTCTAAATGCAAAGTTATTTCCATGTGGCACAAGACTCATTTCTCCCTTGTTCTGGCCAACCAAATACTATCGCATGCCACTGGTGAGAGGGATTTGGGAGTTATGGTATAGGAGGACGTAGGAGGTTCCACTCACTGTGCCATGGCTCCAAACCAATTGGGACTACTTGACTGAGGAGGCGGGATAACCTCAGGATACCAATCCGAAACCTTTGGCTAGAAAGCGGAATCTGTACGATAGTAGGACGCAGCTCCATTGGGGAGCGGTGGTCAAGTTCAGCGGATCATACGCCCTTTGGACGGTGTCAAACGTCCAAGGTGCCCAATACACCTCGATGCCGAATCGAGCCGGTGACCACTGCCACAACCAGGAAGGTGTGGGCGCGGTTCGTGCGCCTCCTGATCGTTGGTTTGGAATCAGGATTTTTAGCCAAGTGAATTTGCCAATGGCTCACTGAATCGATTAAAGCCCCGGATATTGGATTTTTGTCCTCTCACTTTGGTACGAAAACACTTCCACCACGGGAAGACTGTGAGTACGGTTTCCTCAGCACAGACTATTTGAGACGCTTGGTCATTAAGGAACATTTCACGAGGTGTGGGGGAAAGGTGACTAATCACAACTTGAGGCAGCCATCCCCAACCATACTAAGACATTCGGAGACCACGGTGGCCGACAATCAACAAATATTCGATCGGATGGTCCGGAACGAGTAACACAATTACTGTGTAATGGAATTTTCTTCATTGTCTGATTGACTAACTGTTAAAATTCATGAACGGTTATGGAACATTTTGAAGCACAAAATTTGAGCAAAAGAATCCATGTGTGAAATGGTTTTTTAGATGATACCTAAGCCTCCACGTATAGGAGAATCGTTCGCATTATGATAACCACTATCTTCGTTTAAATTCAATAATATTGACCAGAAGATAGGGGTCGACATAGGTGTGTGTTTAGTTTATCAGTTAATGTCACTTGAGTCAATTGATGTGTTTTGTCCTATCCTGATCTTCACAATAAACCAGGACAATTGGGGCACGTGACCCAGTCTGCTTAGGTCACATGTTTGGGTTAGGGTTATCGAATGATGATCCGATAAACGGTGACCAGTGCCCAAACACGGGCCGCTATCCATCGATTGAGTGGTATGTGATGCACAACACTTGGAGACTAATCCGGTTTCATCTGGTTTCCGCTGCTTGCTAGAGATAACTCACGATTGAGTTTGCCGGTCTTCCGTGACCTAAAGGTCTCGGGCTTTGCTCTGTAACCCCTTGAGATGCACGCTTAACGGTGGAAAACAACCGTGTGAGCCAAAAAATTCACTTCAATCAGTAGGTTCGGCAGTTCAATCTTTTGCCTTCATTCGCAGCCACGACGATCACAGTCTGGCTGCTGCGTGCGTAAAACTCACAATCGCTTTCAAGAACTATTGAAATTTCCGTGTATACATCCCCCTTCATGAAATTCTTTGTCAATAGTTATTTCAAATGAACACAGCTCAATCGTTTCTTTCC